ACCGTGAGTAGAACACTGTAGTTCACCTGCTAAGGACACACTGCTACTGACTCTTCATTGAATACCTACAGTGAGTGAATCCCTGCAACAGATGTGCTACTTTTCTTTACTCCTTCTAGCAACCCAGAAGTAGGCAGTTTTCCATTTTACAGAGAAGTATGAGAATGCACAGATCCCACACGAGTGAGAGGTAGAAGGAGGAATCGGTGTAAGCTGCCAGGTTCCACTTATAAGCTGCCATCCGTACATTACGCTGGGAGAGCAACAAGAGCAACCAGCTTAGTCTGCCACAGTGGCAGAAGCTAGCGTTAGTGTGTGGTTCACACCAGCCTCAGCAGAAACAGACATGGAAAGCTAGGGAAGGACATAAACCCCAGACGATTTGACTCAAGGTCTCTCTGGGTACATCCCAGTATCTCTGGGCCTGTTTCCTTAACTCTATAGTGAATGTATTAATTCCTCCCCACTGAGGTTTTGTGATGCCAAAAAACAAATGCCTTAAGTGGAAAATTTTGAAGGACTATGCAAATATGTAAAACTGCTTCCCCATTAAGACCAGCAGTAAAGTATAGCCCATGAAAACCCTACCAAAAGGTAGGAAAAGGACTGGAAATAAATGTGCTCTGGAGGTTTGCCTAAAGCTCAGTACAGAGAGGTGAGGGGTGTAGGATTGAGAAAGTATTGTATGGGATGCTTTGTACTTTGTGACCAGAGAAGACACCCCAGGATAGGCTTTTAAGTTATCCTTCATGAGTTCCTGGAAATCCTAATCCAAATAGTCATATATTCAGGGAATTCTAAAGATTTCTGAGGCTTTTAGATAGATTTGGGATAAGGATGCGGGCCCTTAAGAAACACTCCCAGAAATGAGGAGTAAATGTGAGAAGTCTTAAACTCCTGCTTGGGAACCTGTGCTTAGGAACTCTGAGGGCTTCCAGAGAGAAGCACAGACTGAAATGGGTCCTTTAAGTGCAGTCACAGCCGCAGTAGGGCCAGAAGTGACCCAGTTACCACTTGGGTCCCAAAGATCAACTCTTGACCACTCCTACTTAACAAATTTCAACTCATCAAAAAGCACCTAAGAAACTAATCTGAAAAAAAGTAACCAAAAGAAGAACTTTTTTGCTGGACTTGCAGCACAGAACGTGGTCAAAAGTCTGTTTTGGGAGATCCCAGGAAATTCTACATGGCCCAGTTAGAAACCTGTAAGTTTAAAATCAATGAGGCAATCTGGGTGTTTGCCCACGAAAGCCTGTCTGACCACTAAGTGTTGTGGACCTAAAGTCAAAGCCATATAAGAAGCAAAAAAAAAAAAAAAAAACTGTGTACTTTCGCTGGAGTTGGTGGCTTGCTTAGTTAATTTGGCTCAGTTTGATTTAGAAGTAATACTGAGCAAGCCCCTGTTGAATGTTGGGAGATTTTTGAGCAAATAAGTTTTTGAATAATTCCTGGACTTTTAACAGTCCTACTGTCTTTGTGCCAGATGTACATGGATAAGTGACTTAATATCTAATATAGATTCCTTTATGTGGAAGCAAATTGCATTTGGAACAAATTACCTGTAAGTTGGTAAGACAGATACCAACAAGGGCATTATTTTGATAAATATCTAAGTGTAATCAGATGTCCCATGAGGATGGAGTGATTTTTAAAGATTAAACTGGTGACCTGTGGGAGTACCTGTAGATGGTTTTGCTATTAAGACTTGGTGGCAAAAGGCTAGAGGCAAAAAGGCTGTCTGTATAGCCATGAGAGGTGAACTGCTGACCCGTGACCTTTCGTGGCTAAGGTGGATACATCTGACATTAAAATGCTGCATGCCAAAGTGGGAACTGCTTCACTGCACCTAAAACACATTTTGAATGAAGTGACCTTGTCAGATATTCAGATATTTTTGCTTGTGATACAATCAAATTGTCTTTCTGAACAAGATCACCCTTCTCTCAGTCGGGTCTTAGATAACGTGCGAGGCCACTCTTGTTAAACTAAGGGTGTATATAATTAACTAGTTTCAAGTGGGGAAGGAGAAAAGGAGTGGGAAATTCAGGGGAAAAGGAAATGTGGTATGGTCAAGGACAGGTTTGGAGTTTTAGGGATGAACTGTCTATCTGCCTATCTATATAAAAGAATGAATCAAAATCATGAAACCTAAATTTTATGTTATAAAGCAATATTGATTCGACTAAAACTATTTAGCTTTTGAAGTTACGATTTTCTGTTCAGTAAATGGACGTTGATGTGTATATACATGCAAGAAGTAAAGCATGTATAATTAGCTTTAAATGATCTCAAATCCATTAACAAAAGTAACATCTCTCAACACCTCTTACAATATGATTACCAGACAAATGCTTCTTGACAAAGATGTTCTCCAGAAGACAGAGGGGCAGTGGGCTTTTTCTCCTCATATTTTTATAACCATCCAATTGAGGAAGGAGAAAGCGTGCCCTTTTCTGTTTGAGGATAGTGGTGATTATTAACAGGACAAAAGCATAATTCAAATGACCCAGAACCTCGGGACTCCTTCCCAATTTACTGCTTCACACGTGGGGTCCAGGGTTCTTATGACAAAACTGTGGGGGAAAGCTTGCCGTGGGCAACGAGAGGCTGTCCAGGTTAGCTCTGTGGTACTCCCATACTTGCCTGTCATTGCCATGGTCACTCCCATGCTGCTTACAGTGTCCAGGCAATGCTCCTTTCAATGTAGCAAGACTTACCTATCCAAAACTTTACATTTTTTCCTGTGTTCACTTTAAATGAGTTGTTCACAATAAAAGAGATTTCCATAGCTACAGAAGAGAATGACCTAGCCAAGACCCTGTTGTTTCAAAGCCAGGGAGCCATGTTCTTCATTTTACAAAGAAGAAAACCATATAAGGTTATCTCTGTGTGGCTAATATGCTATAGTTGATTATTTTTAGAGAAACATGCCAAATGCTAATAAATGATTAAGTGCTTTAAAGGGTGTTGACAGAAAAATCCTGAGCTGAAAGAAGATTCAAGAGGTAATTGATGATATGAAACATTCTCTCTCAGAACTTAGCAAAGTTAAGAAGATGTTGGTTATGCTTGGGAGATAAGTAAATGTGGTTGATGCGTGTAGCTTAGCCAACAACTTCCGTGATTTTACTAACCCTCCAATGATTTTATTTTAGAGATATGTTATTTATTTTTCCCTATAGATTATTTGGTAAAAAATGTAAAGAAATAAGAAAGTGTGGTGTAGTGGTCTGGGGAGGGGTAAGAAGTTGAAGAGGGGAGGGGGATAATTTTCAAGTTAGTAATGTATTTGCAATGTTTCTGAAGCATTTCCCAAGTGATTCCCTGTCCCTGAGAATTACAGCTGCACTCACACCCCCTGAGTTGTGTTCACTCACTATTTCTCTCTTTTGCTCCATCAGAGTTTCCAGAGGAGAACAACTGTTCTCTCTATCTTTATATTGCTTGCCGCCTCTTCCACCTCACTTGTATTTGCTATATTTCAAAGGGACTTTGGATCCCACCGTAGTCAAACCTTTTCTGTTAGTCACTTACCAGTGCCCTATAAGAAAGCCTAGAGATAGAATTAGATTTTAGAGGGACATTAAGTTACTTGTTAAGATTTGTTGGATTCATTAAGCTTCATCAGGTCACCAGTTTATAATTCTTCACTTTTTTCAGGGGTCAAGGTAATCCAGTTCAGATGAGAAAAATCTAATAAATCGGCTAGGTTTCTAAACATTTTTTTCTTAATTCTAGTTGTATCTCTTCAGAATACAAAACATGTAAACAAAAGATTTTAAGCACAAACTGGATATATTTCTAAGTTCAGACAACTGGAGAGTAGAAATCCATTTCTCATTGGCCTGTTAGAAATAAAGTTCATTGTAAAACTGGTGGGGACATATATTTGCTGTGAGATTATATTTTTCCTAAGAAATATTTACTTTTTAATCTTTATTATCTCTTTGCTTTTCTTAAAGCCTTTATTTCATAAATCTTAATTCATCTTCATGGAGTTATCATTCTACCTCAGCAAGTCATAGAAATCTTTCCAGAGTAGTGAGATCCTCTTTATTTTATGGATGCACACTCAATAGCTCCCTAAGGATAGAGCCCCCAGAACCCCAGGGGTAGTATCCATACTGCAGTATTAAATAGTACACCTGAAGAATAACCTGACATTAATACTCACCCACATATTTTGGACCCACTTGACCTAATCTTTAAGTGCCTTTTAATGGATGCACAGTGGAACTTGTAACCAACATATGTCGCCAAGGACATTTATACAATATATCAGGAAAGTATTTTCTAAGCACTTGACCAGCAACTTACTTACAATTTTCTCAAAATGTATGAGTTAAAAA